TGTGAATTTTAACCTTTTATGACTTCCCTTTCTTCTTGCTTAATGTTCACTCCCTTTTTGGGATGCTTTCAAATTTGATAGTTTTTAAGATAAAAAAAAACTGTCTATAGAATTCATATTTTTTTCCAAAATTCTTCTTTAATCTTTAATTATCAACAGAGATTCAATGAATCGAAGCTTGTGGTTTCAGTTACCACAATTACATAATTTATTATTTAATTTGATTCAAATACGGTTTCAGATCTGAAAAACGAAAAGCATTTTCAATCATTGCCCCTATCCCAATTTAAGAAAGTCGAGTTGCGAGTTACAAAAGTCGAGTTGCGAGTTACAAAAGTCTATTCGCGCGTTATAAAAGTTGAGTTACGAGTTACAAAAGTCAAGTTGCGGGTTAAGAAAGTCGAGCTGTGAGTCACAAAAGTCGAGTTGCGAGTTACAAAAGTCGAGTTGCGAGTAACAAAAGAGATGAATCTGCTGATTTTCTTTCGGAATAACGAAATAAGCAAATATCACGTCAAAGGATTACTTATTTATTTGTAATGTAGCAAAAGCGTTTGCAAAGATTTGAAAATAATGAAGTTCGAGAACACCTATTGAAGCGATCTGGCGATAAAGATCTTCGAGAAAGGATCAGCTTCAAATGAAGAATCATTGCACATGCATGTGTATAATAATGATGATATTTTACAGTCTGGAGCTGGCATGTCAGTTAACTGCTAGTAGTCTGTTGTTATTTATGTATTATTGTCATTTTGTTTATTTTCTTTGGTTACATCTTCTGACATCAGACTCGGACTTCTCTTGAACTGAATTTTAATGTGCGTATTGTTATGCGTTTACTTTTCTACATTGGCTAGAGGTATAGGGGGAGGGTTGAGATCTCATAAACATGTTTAACCCCGCCGCATTTTTGCGCTTGTCCCAAGTCAGGAGCCTCTAGCCTTTGTTAGTCTTGTATTATGTTTAATTTAGTTTCTTGTGTACAATTTGGAGTTTAGTATGGCGTTCATTATCACTGAACTAGTATATATATTTGTTTAGGGGCCAGCTGAAGGACGCCTCCGGGTGCGGGAATTTCTCGCTGCATTGAAGACCTGTTGGTGGCCTTCTGCTGTTGTCTGTTCTGTGGTCGGGTTGTTGTCTCTTTGACACATTCCCCATTTCCGTTCTCAATTTTATCTAAATTGTACCAGCCTTAAAAACTCACAGAACTTATTTTAGAATTAAATTTGAAAGCTTATTTGATTTCAGTTATGTCACAGTGATTTACTAAAGACTACAAAGGTGGGAACCAAAATGCCAACACAATTGATGCCATCAAATCAACATTTTGTGTACAAAGTCTTCTATTACCATCATTTCTGAAACTATAAAATCTTCGGTCTGCTAGTTACAGAAGAGAAAAAAACAATATCAAAATTCTTTCCGGAAAAATGAAGCCATGTTTTTTAGTAGATCACAAAAAATCAGAAATTTTTAGATAAAAAAACTTTCATACATTATTCATGCCAAGTTTGGTTAATATCAGCCTGGGAAATTTCAAAGGAATTTTGGAACAGGCATTTTCCAGGGAAAAAATCTAATTGAACCCCTTAAAAAAGTCAATTTTAAATAGTCCTGAACATGGTGTATCTGTTCATTAAACTTGATTCCAGGCCAATTTACAGTGTACTACATGATTGTTTTAAATGAACAAATGCACTATCTTAATTTGTCACAAGTCGCAGTCTTAGTTTGAGGGCGATACTTTACAGGGGGGTGGGGGGGGGGGAATAATGACGTTGCTAACGTAAAATGTTATTTTTCGCGATGTCAAACTGTAACATATTGAAAAAAGATGCATTTTAGCTCGACAAGTCATGGGCATCTCATTTTTTAAAAGACATTTGGCTTGATCATTTATAAAGATTATTTGTACCATGTTTTATGAACAAATCAAATTAACAAAATAAAGTTAAATCAGGTAAACGTACAGCAAACAATTTCATGTTTTTTTCTAAAATTATGAAAATTTAATGAAAATTTCTAAAGAACTATTACACCAATTTATAGCATACTTATATAAAGAAGATATTCAAAATAATTTAACAAAAATCCGCGCGTGTTTATCTTTTGAAACAAAAAAGATAGGTATGTCTATCCAAAGAATAGAAATTTCGAAGAAACCAAAAATTTGAGTAAATGTCTAAAATTTCAACCCCATTTATCCCTAAAAGTAGCCCATAAATATATATTTTTTATTACATAATTGAATTGACGAGGTGAAAAATAGCTTGTTTGCAAATCTTCTTAAAAAATCACCGTGGGATCAAAACCTTAACCCTCTTACTGCAGGAGGGACATATGTGTCTTCCCCTTGCTTACTGCAAATATGTCCTCTGTGTAAAAAAATAGCTTATTTTTTTCCCTTATTTAACATTTCTAAAAAATACCCCTTCCTTCATTTATTGTATACATTTCATATATTTGAATCATTGTATGTGGTTATTATTTTTGTTATTTTTTCTTCTTCATTAAAACGTCATCATTACGTCATATATTATTTGTCGTCATTTGACGTCGTAATTGAGTTGTGAAGACAAGATAGCGCTTCCTTTTAGAATGAGCCATTAAATGCTTCTTATTGATAAGATAACACAGAATCATACAGAAAAGTTCAACACAAACAAATAATCATTGAGCTGTACAACCAAATATATTTGCTAATTGGTTTTAATTTTGTATCCAACTATATATTTCAAACAAATGTCCTAAACTCTCTTAGATTGGTAGGGACTCGGACATATACTAAGTGTTGAACTTGGTGATTGCAGTGTTTTTCTTACTAGTTTTGCAAACAAATGAATTACACAACGAAAAAGTCTGCGTTGGTATATAAATGAATAAATAAGTCTACAATTACTGACGTGTAGTATTTAATTGGCATAAAAAGCATTCTGTAATCTGAATATTTTTTATGTTTTGTTTCAGCTATTGTTAGCTTTAGTTTATGTGCAAAAATGGATAGATACTATGCGGTTATTCAAAAACCGTTAGTCACAGAAAAACAGACAAAACAATGAGAAAAGCCCATACCGTATAGTCAGCTTAAAGAATGCCCCGACATGAAAAATGTGAAACAAATTCTAACATGAAAACTAACGTCATAATTTATAACAATACAATTAATGAAAAACAAATATGACAGACATGTACCAACGAAAACCACTGAATTACAGGCTCCTGACTTGGGACAGGCACAACAGTGTGTGCTTTCTTTATTTTTCCGGTCTATTTTGTTGGCCAGTGTTCCCCAATGTATCTCACATTTCTGATAAGTTTAATTCCATTTTGAAGATGTTAGCTTTGAAATATTTGCCGCTGAAAACTAATTTAATCTATTTGGTGTTATAGTTTATTTTATCCTGACAATATTCAACCTTTTTAGAACATTTCATTCTTATTATCTCTATAATTTTTTAACGTGTGGCATGTCATGACTCGATGATACACCACAATGGAACTATAACTATAAGCGTATCACATTTTTTACACTGCAAATCTTCCTTCACATTTATCCAATGAAATTTTGAATATCATGCCGCTAATAATGAGTTTTCTTCGAACTTAACGTGTTATATATATTAAGTGTAAAACGCAAAGTTGGGAAAAACTAACAAAATCGGGAGATGTAAAGACATTTTCTAAAGATATGTCAATATAACATTGATGTACAAATATAAATGAACACATATGGTGTTATTTTGGAATTAGTTTGCGTGCGTTATAAACTTTTTATAACTGAGTTTATTGCCTACTGTTACCGGATATTTTTCCCATATACTATATAAATTCGTAAGAGCCCTCTAATATTTATTCTGTAAATATATTTACAATGATAGTTACAAATAGTATAAATATACTATTAAACAGGTTGGGAACAACCCCTCAAATGAGGGATAACCCCTAAATGTAATGACTATCCCTTTTATGAGGGGTAGAATTCAAGTGATAAAAATATATTTTTACAAAAACCACTTCTAATTACAAAAGGGCACATGTTTATATTATTTTCAGAAACTTAACCAAGAGAACAATATGTCTATCCGGTATTATCTTGACAAAACATGTCCATGAATTTTGTAATATTCATGGACTTCAATCTTCTTTATTTTTGAAAATAAGAAGACCCCACTTTTAGAAAAGTTGTTCCAAATATAATGAATTTTCCGCCTTTTCAGTTAAAAAAGCTGAGTTATTATTTTTTCCTTTCTACAACAGCAAAATAACCCCTTGTCCGAGGGACAGTCCATCATTTAAGGTTCATCATAACAAATGGACAAAAATGGCTGTATTTACACCTCAAAAACTACTCTGTGTACAGACTAACCTGTGCAGTTTTGAAAGTTTTAAGGCTTGGCATCCACTAGATATATAAAAGTTAAATGCATTTTGTGTTTTGGAAAGATAACATCTTTTCTGGATTTTGATGGGCATTTTTATTCGTTCCTGCTGTTGGTGTAAAAATAAACAAAGACCAAAATTACATTGATACTGTCCACTCAGTTACACCCTTTAACTCACCTATTGTTGTGTAGATATCTATTGTCCAGGCCAATCAAGGACTATCAATACAATGCAATACAGTTGTTACCTGAGAGGGAGCATCTTAAAGATTTACCCAACTTAGTTTATTTTTACACCTTCTGCAGGAACAGAAAAAAATGCCCATCAAAATCCAAAAAGGATTTTATCTTTCTGAAACACAAAATAAATTTAACTTTTATATATCTAGTGGATGCCAGGCCTTAAAAGTTTTCAAACTACACAGGTTAGTCTGTACACAGAGTAGTTTTTGAGGTGTAAATACAGCCATTTTTGTCCATTTGTTATGATGAACCTTAAGGGATATCCCTCTTTTGGGGGGTTGTTCCCAACCTGATAAACAAAAGTATTCAAAGAATATTATTATCGAAAATATTTGAACCGAAACTTAAAACAAAGAAATAGAAAAGACAAACCTATAAATATATAGCCAATGGCGCAATCCATCCACACGTTCCAACGCCTGAATACAGGAATACAGGTATAAAAAGATATTACAGGTAGGAAGGGATTTTATTGCGGTAACTAGAAAGCATGCTGGTAAAAAGGTGTGCTTGATTTGAATTTGTCATTCGTCAAGCGTTTGTGTGATATGATAATGAAGATAACATATGAAATATGATATGAATACATGTATAACATAGAAAAACATGAATAAAAATAATAAACACAAGAAATATTTCATGCGGTGACACTACCGTCGGTACAACCATGTCTACAAAGATAATGGAAAAAGACGACTACAGTGTTTCACTCGGGGGAGGGGGGGGGGGGGAGGATATTTCAGAGGACAGACATTTTTTTCATATGAATTTTCACTCGTCAGTATTATTTATTAACGTTTTGATTTTCTTAACATATTTAAAGTTATTATTTGGAAGAAGATCACTTGTATATATGTATCTATCATTTTTTTCAGACAAACGCATCAAGTATTGACCTCTCGAGATAATGCTGACATAAAAAAGCTAAAAGTTGCCTTGAAAGGCTATAGAATTGTACAACTGACCTTTTTTTAAGTCATTTTACAGTTTATATACAGTTTTATATCCATGGTTTCACTCCTGACTATACATGCTATTTAAATTTTCTTAAAAAAGCACAAACAAAAAATTTTTCATTATTGCATCCAATAAACCAACATCACTATTACAATGCCGCAAACAAATTTGTTATTAGACGATAGGCAATAAACACATTATAGTGCATGCTTTAGAAAGAAAGTTTATATATATACATTCTTTAAATCCGACAATTTTTTCAGTTCAGATTTTAAAATCGATAGTGATTCTTTTTTCGTATGGATAAATCTATTGTTTTTGCTTTGTATATGAGTGATACCTAACATCCACGCATTCCAACATCTATCTAAATCCCGAATGCAAACAAATCTTATTCGGAAGATTCCATATACATAGTGTTTAATTGTTATTATATTACAATATAATGATAAAAAAGATACTAGCATTACTAGACTTGTAATAGCTTACACCAATCCTACATAATTTAGTGTTTCGGCGGTTTTTGTATCATATACTCAAGATAAATGTATTACATTTATGAATGGGTTTAAGCATTGTAAGCCCGCCATCATCAGGGATTCAACTATAATATCATTTCAATTTTGTCGACGTTAATAAATCGGCTATATTTTTATGCTTTTTATAAGCTATTATTGGTTTGACAGAAAATATTTCTTTGCAAACCTGATCATGTTTGATGCATAGTTTTAATTTGTGAATGCACGGATTGAATTTCATTGCCAATACTAATTCCTGACTTAGGACAGGTGCAAACAAATGCAGCGGGTTTGTTTCGTGTGCTTAAAAACAGCTAGATTATCTGTATCAACTCAGACGAAGGTTTTTCATTTATAATTCAGGACAGAATATATATTTTCTGCAATGACATAACGTAGATTTGGATTTGACCCGAACGTGACATAGGTAAAATCTCTTTGTAATTATTGTGTTGTAATCTGGATCATGAATGCACAGCTAATGTGTGCATTATCTATACCTCAGATATACTGCACTGTTCAAAAGTGCTCTTGTCTTTAGGGGAAGTTAAGATTGAAAAGTTAAACTTTTTTCTGTTACTTTGCACTTTGAATTTAGCTACATCTCTCCTCAGTTCATCTAACCCTTTCAGTATGATCTTTAAAAATACATCAAATGAAACTAAAACTTCAGATGTGGTTTATACGTCAATAAGACAGCAATCAAACGACAAAAACAACCTATTAGTAAGGACATCTCGAGGGCAACATATAGTTTTCAACAAAAGAAAGTTGTTTACACCATCTGTCAAGTTCTAAATCGTCACGAATTTACATAAAAATTGTGAATAGATTTAACAGAACGGATAAAAATTCTGCCATTGAATCGCAATTCTCCAAATAATGAAACAATTTAGGAAGAAGCTGGATATTAAAAAAGTTAATAATTTAAAAGTTACCAACCTTTTGCTACAGAAAAGCGTATTTCCCCTTTCTTTACCCTACAATTGAACTTTCCTAGGAGCCGTAGATTGCGGAATATCGTCCGCATATTTAGAAACAGTTATTCTTATTCGTCGTTCGGGTCAAGTAGGGTCACCCGAGCAGATTAAATGACATATGCCGATTTGCTTGTTCAATAACTACTAGTATAACGATTATGATAAAAGTGACAAATTTAAACACATCAAAATAATACATTTACCAAAATGATAAACGCAACTTGTATTCGATAGTCATAATTAAAACAATATGTGTAATGATTATAATTAAAAAGATAAATTGACATATTTATACTTTAATGTAATGGGATAAAGTAGAAAGTTTGAGAGAGATTACAATGCCAACACATGTATTTATGAACTGGAAATACACGCACACATTAAATCTAAGAAAGACAATATACATTTTACAGAATCAAAATAAAAAGAAGTCTTATTTTTCCTAAAACTAATGCTTCAAAAGAATAAAATGATATGAAAGAATACACCATCTTTAGAATTTAATATAATAATACAATTGTGAAATAAGCCAATGCTATAATTATATGTTTTGTTAAGCTCTCACAAAAGGATATATTTATTTTGACATTATCTGCAGCGACAAGAGGAAGAAAGTTTAAACAAATATATTATTCAATGTATTGTTCGTTCTGCAACCCAAATCTTACTTAAACTATTATATCAAAATGATATTAAATTTTAAGGATCCTTCCTGGTTACAAGATCAGTTGGCAATTGAACACATCAATCAATAAATGTAAATTTTAGTTGATATTTTATCTCTTTTAATGTTAAAGTACTGCAATGAATATGATCTGCTCTAAGTAATTAATTTATAAGGACTGATTGTAATATATTTTCCGTCTATTCGAAATAACCTAAAAAAAAATGTGGTACCTACTTTTAAATAACTCGCTACGCTGGTTATTCAGTGTGCACCACATTTTGATGTTATTTCTTCATAGACAGAAAAGATATTACAGTCATTCTTTTTATGGGTTGATTTAAAATACATATATAAGTAAGCAATGAATGTCGTTGTTAAATTTGATAGATGCTTTTTGTGCTTCTTTGTTAAATGTTTGTTTGTTTTGAGATCGTGACACAGTGATGACTGCTGTACCCATATTTTGACAATGTTACTTATTATGTCTGTTTTGTTCACGCATCGTTGTAAATATAATGGAATTTGATGCGACTGTCATACAAGTGAGAGGTTTAGCGCTATAAAACCAGGTTCAATCCACCATTTTCTACATTTGAAAATGCCTGTACCAATTACGGTATATGACAGTTGTTGTCCATTCGTTTGATGTGTTTTATCATTTGATTTTGCCATTTGATTAGGGACTTTCCGTTTTGAATTTTCCTCGGAGTTCAGTATTTTTGTGATTTAACTTTTTCCTTATAATTTAATTCTAAATTCCATTTTAAGGAGTAAATCATGTAAAAACGTTGATGACCTCACGGTCACATGACAAAATTATGTCTATGAGCTGATAGACAAAACATTTTCAGCCTATCAGAAGAAGCGTTACAAAATTTTGTCAAATCACAGAAAAATGTTTTTGTGTTGATATTCATTTAATATTTGCCACTGAAAATCTAGCAAAAAACAATAAATCGATGGTTAAAAGAAAACAAAGAAAAACTGAATTTTAGATGTAGGTACATGTTTAGATCAACCATTGTGATTACTTTCCTATCAGCACAGAAATTGGGACTACCATATTTGGGCATTTTTTTTTTTGTTCAACTGAAACGAGTTGGTTTCATTCAAAACGTCATATCAAATGAAACCAAAGCGTGCTGTACGTTGTAAATGACAACTGCATATACTTTTTAGAAGTTCTAACATAAATTTTTTTTGATAAAACGTACTGAATTAGAATACTGTCACAAATAGAAACTGAGTGTATTTTGTGACTGGGTAATGTGTTGGCCTGGAACCACACACACAATAAACAGTACGACAAGTCTGCAAGGACTCTGACTCTGGGGCTAACTCTTGCAACAAAAGACGACTCTGGTTAGCGCGATGTATAATTTAATAAGTTCAGCATGGAATACAATTGTACAGACTCTGAGTTGGAACTGCTCAGTGTAATACTAAATCCAATCTGCCACATCAAAATAATAACACAGTTTATAAAACAAACCAAAAATTACTAGAATAGACTTGACAAATATTTCTCTAAATGAGTGAGAAAATTCAATTGAGGGATTACAGAAAAATTAGCACATAGATAATAATTAACAATAGAACATACAGACTTATTCATGATCATGAAATTAAAGACATTAAAGATTTACGAATAATAGATCAATTGAAGTAAAATGTCGCTAATTGAAAATCAAATTAAAACACGAAATTAGATTATCTTAATCTTCTAAACTTGACTTAAACCTTTCACAATAAAATTAACAAAATCCCATAGTGAAATATTGCAAATATAACAAAAACAGTGATTTTACAAAATCTTTTACAAAATGTCCGAAAAGTCTCATAATCAATTTTTGTCACTTTTTCACTGCGACAATACGAAGCCTTCAAACCCGAGCTGGTCACCCGTCGAGTCAATTTTTTCAACTAAGAAGTTGAAAGTTCTTTCTTAACTTCTGGTCAACCTATGCTGAATCTAAATTATGTGATGAGACTTTTTATGAACTGGCAACTTAATACGCTGTAATACGCAAATGTCACGCCACTTCGATCTGTCAAAATTTCTGACGGTGCGGTTGCGATAGAAATTTACGAGTTAACGTGAGGGTACCCACATTGCACCTTGACAATTTGACAATAGTCCATGTTTTCTATTCTTTGTTCATAAATGGATGCCTGTAACATATTTTAATTGCTCATTTGTAAAAGTAGACTTTTTGAAGACGTCGCATGGCCACGTCTCCGTAGATTTTACCCAAGTTTTTCTGGTGGATACTTCGTCTGTTGATATTTGCTGTGAACGTTTTGTGTATGCTTAAATATATTCAACTATGTTAAAAGACGTGCATAATGTCAAATCATAAAAATACAAATTGT